TCGCGAGATATCTCGTCAAAAGCGTTAATCGGCCAGTATTGGATCGCGAGATATCTCGTCCAAGGTAACGAAAGGGTTAAAAGCGGTTATTTAATTTTTCAACTTGATATTCCAAATAAAAAATAAAAACCGTACGCGCATACGGTGCATTGTCCGCATGTCTCTGGGTTAGGAACCGGAAGATTCGAAAATAATAAGTTGCGGGAAAAGTGACGTAAATTTCCCGGGCGAAAGTATCCAGATTTTGGACATTATTCCCTGACGGGGAAGATTGTCCGAAATAATGTCCAAGAAGTATTTTAATGTTCCCGGGGGAGTTATAACCTAAAAGTAGGGGTTAGTTACTAGTACTAGCCGTAATCACAGCGCGGGCTTGTTTCCTCTTCTCAATTATTCCGGGATGATAATTCCTCCTCTCTTTGGAGGATTCCAATCGGGGATATAAAAAAGACGCGTAAACCGTTTCATTCCAGGCCAGGAAGGCTCGACGAAGAACGGCTCCTCGAGCTCCACCTGCGAGGGTGGAAAAGTTAAAAGGGTCAGGACGATCTTCACTGCCCAGCAGTTGCAGCGATTGGAAATCGAGTTTGCCCGACAGCAGTACATGGTGGGGCCCGAACGACTGTGCCTGGCACATGCGTTGAGCCTGACCGAGGCACAGGTCAAGGTGTGGTTCCAAAATCGCAGGATAAAGTGGAGGAAGCTCCACCACGAGCAGCAGAGCCAGAGGTTGCACGAGCTGCACCAGCAGGAACGCTTGGAGCACGAGGACAGCAACGAGAATTGCGGATGGTGAACCCTGTCTCGTTTCCGCTCTTGGTGCACTTCGTTGCTGCACTTCCTTGGTGCAGTTCCTTGGTGCAGTTCCTGGCTGCAGTACCTTGCTGCAGTTCCTTGCTGCATCTTGGAGGCATCTACGAGGCTCTGGAGGGGGAGGCAGGGGCCAGGGTGTGCTTCCAGAACCAAGAGAACCAAGGATGGTTAACCTAGTCGTACTTTAAGGAATCCCTCCGGCACATTTTTCTCCATACTCTATCGCGGTATCGACCTCCTAGGGCACCTTCTGCACGGGTCTCGAAATAGTGCCAGGTAGACTTACGCTTTCTGTCCCCACGACCCACCAGGTCGGAAGCAAACTCGACGCGGGTCCCTGACATCGGGTATTTCCGGTACTCGGGAATTATTCGAAATGTCGAGGGTTGACTCGAAGCTAATGGAGGAAATGGATGAAGAGGACGTCTGGACCACGGAAGAGGACTTTATGTTTCGTCGTGCACCCTGGAATAATATAAATTCGAAACGTCGAGAATTGACTCGAAGTTAATGGAGGAAAGGGACGAAGAGGACGTTTGGACCACGGAAGAGGACTTTATGCTTCGTCGTGCACCCTGGAATAATATAAATTCAAAACGTCGAGGACCGATTCGAAGCTAATAGAGGAAACGGACGAAGAGGACGTTTCGACCACGGAAGAGAACTTTATGTTTCGTCGTGCACCCTGGAATAATATAAATTCAAAACGTCGAGGACCGATTCGAAGCTAATAGAGGAAACGGACGAAGAGGACGTTTCGACCACGGAAGAGGACTTTATGTTTCGTCGTGCACCCTGGAATAATATAAATTCAAAACGTCAAGGATCGACTCGAAGCCAGTGGAGGAAACTGACGAGGAAGACGTTTGGACCATGGAAGAGGACTCCGTGATTTGTCGTGCACCCTGGAAGAATGTAAACTCCAAACGTCGAGGACCGACTCGAAGCTAATGGAGGAAAGGGACGAAGAGGACGTTTCGACCACGGAAGAGGACTCCATGATTCGTCGTGCACCCTAGAATAATATAAATCGTTAATCACTCGGAAAATCATCGCTCATAATGTCTGACTTCGGCGCGAGTTGTGCTACGGAAATTATCAGGAGGGACTAACATTACCGATCGTGAAAACCTGCGAGGTGGGGTTCCCGAAGAGCACCTCGAGGGCGCCGAAGGTGACTCGGTAAAATTCTTCGGGTTCGGGGGACTGGAGACCGTCGACGCGCACCCTCCAAGAGGACGTTTATCCAATGGAGACCTTGGAATCCAGACCCAGGACTCCCCCCCGTCCTCGCAAGGGGACTTCCTGGACGGAGAAGACGAAGGCGTTTATAGGAAGTCCTGCAGGAGGATCAAGGACCTCCCAGACTCCGGGCGAGAAAGGTAAAGGTCGCCTTTTCTAAGATTAAGGTGAAGTGAAACTCGTCGAGGAACTTGATCGACGTCGATAAAGAAGATTTTTCTAAATGCCTACGTAGCCGACGTTGGTTTTTATATTGACGGCTGGGTCGAATTATATTGGATATTGTACCAAATGGCGTACACTATATGTCGTTTTCGTACAATAATTATAAAGAAATCGAAGTGAAACTCCAGAAAAACGAGTTTCACTTCACCTTAAGGTGAAGTTAAGAATTTCTAAATGCCTACGTTGCCGACGTTGGTTTTTATATTGACGGCTGGGTCGAATTATATTGTGTTTTGTACCAAATGGCATATTCCACCTGTCGTTTTCGTACAATAATTATGAAGAAATCAAAGTAAAACTCCAGAAATCCTCTGGATTCATGCTTTCTGGGGCCCTAATTCACTGCAGAGGGACCCCTGCGCCATCTGTGATTTCCAGGTGAATTAAATTTTCACTCCGAGACTTCGTATTCCCATCGTTTTAGCATAGAAGCGCATACAACACTTTTTTTTTGCCTTTATCCCATTGAAATGCGAGTTTATCGATTACCAGAGTGTTCTAAATTGTCGTAAAATTGTCCTGACCCTTTCGATTCTCATATCAGACCCTTCGACAATTGTATACTGATCGAAATATGAGAGCTCGACGCCATTTTGGTTCTGGCCTGGGCTGAGTTAGAAAATTCTTTTGAAAAATCCAAATTTTCAATGTGTCAGGACAACTCTTAGATGTGTCAAAGTTTCGGACAGTTTGGTCTAATACCCTTAAAAAAAAGTGTTGTATTCGAATCGACTGATTTGAAGGGGGTTTCACTTCACCTTAAGAAATTCTTTTGAAAAGTTCAAATGTTGAATGTGTCAGGACAAAACTCTTAGATGATCAGGAGTGACGTGTCAAAGTTTCGGACAGTTTGGTCTAATACCCTTAAAAAAAAGTGTTGTATTCGAATCGACTGATTTGAATACAGTTAAACAATTTTTAAAAAAATCCAAATTTTCAATGTGTCAGGACAATTCTTAGATGATCAGGAGTGACGTGTCAAAGTTTCGGACAGTTTGGTCTAATACCCTTAAAAAAAAGTGTTGTATTCGAATCGACTGATTTGAATACAGTTAAACAATTTTTAAAAAAATCCAAATTTTCAATGTGTCAGGACAATTCTTAGATGATCAGGAGTGACGTGTCAAAGTTTCGGACAGTTTGGTCTAATACCCTTAAAAAAAGTGTTGTATTAGAATCGATTGATTTGAAGGATGTTTCACTTCACCTTAAAAATCCAAATTTTGAATGTGTCAGGACAACTCTTAGATGTGTTATAGTTTCGGACAGTTTGTTCTAATACCCTTAAAAAAAAGTGTTGTATTCGAATCGACTGATTTGAAGGGTGTTTCACTTCACCTTAACCTTAGTTCCGTGAAATTCCCCTGTCAAGGTGTCATCACGCGGAGATGGGAAACGAGAGGATGCTCCAACGCCTCCCAGAAGGTCGACAAAGTCTCCGGACATGTCCGGAAGTCCTTTGGATCGGTACGGAGGACAAGGACGCGACTTCGGACCGGAAGTGGACGCCATTTTGTCTCCTCGGGTGCAGTTTTTGCGCCGGGTCGACCGATCTCCTTCCAGGAAGCCTTGGAAAGACCAATCGCGTCTGCCAGGACTACGGGAACGTCGTAGAGGGTGGACCCGTCGGTGAGAGTCCTTGACAAATTATTATAGTGTACGTTATTAACTCTAAATAATATTTTTTAATCAATTCATACCCATGAATATTTTTTTCAGGGGACGACATCGCGTCGGCTGATTTAACGTCACCTGGGAAAGGCTCGAGGATCCTTGAAGAATCTTCGTTGGATCGATATGAGTCGAAATCGATTCAAGTCGAGATATCGAGAACCTCGCAACGATTCCAGGAGATCGTAGGGATTAATCTAGAAAGGAAAACCTGTACGTGACAGAGAAAATGTCAGAATAAGTGGATTTAACACTAGGTTTACGGGACCCGTCAATTTGACGGAATTCAAACTTGGAAAAGAAATACCGAAAAAACCATGGCGTTAATTTTAACCATTTTTGTATCGTAAATTAATCATTTCATCCAAGGAATTTGTACACGGAATTATTTTTTCCTAAGCCTTCTAATTATTAAAATCTGTATGTGGTATACCTATCTCTACGAAACCCGTCAAATTGACGGACTAGCTAATTTCATTAACAATCCATATATATTTGCTTCGTTGCAGGGAGTGTAAGGCGAAGATGAGAGTGAAAGTTTGCATTTAAAGTGGAGAGATGGAAGGATCTTCGGATAGGGAAGAGGAAAACTTCTTGAAAGGGTGTCGTGGCAAGGAAAGGATGCGCATTCTTTCTAGTTCCGACTCCGAGGATGAGAGGGCGCGCATTCCAATAATTTCCGTGATAATTTTTAAAAAAGGACTTTTTACTTATTAATCATTCATTTAAACGCAAAGCCTAGGGTTGTTAAATTCGGACTTAATTTCAATGAATCGATTTTTGAAAGAAAATCCGTGTTTTCGTTTGCCCGTCAATTTGACGGATGCTCGTAGAAACAGGTATATATATAAAACGCCCGTAAACCTAGTGTTAATTGCAAGAAGGAATATAAATGTCCTGCGATAAGGATAAGGTTCCATAGATAGGACCAAGGACTCCCCAAGGGTAAAGGGTGAAGCATAAATTACGAGGGATAGATGAAGACTTCTTCCCCTCTTGTAAACTTTTCTACAGGACGACTCTTATGTAAAACATATTACCGATAGATAGAAAAGTGGAGCATGAACTATGTAGAGTTCGAAAACTCTCGGTAACATTAAATTGCAGAAGGTAACTGTGAAACATACCGTAAGTTACCGGGAACATTGAGAATTTAAGAGAACGTTAATTTTGTTATTTATACTTTAGGTTTCTTCGTTTAAATAACGTTTTTTTTTTCCAATTAATTTCAAAGTTCAAGCTAAAGAGTGATATTTACTATTAGAAAATATTGATTTTAGGGTCGTATTTAATTCCAGCGAAAAATATTCACGTATGTACAACTTCACGGGAAATTCCATGCGATTTTTTTCAAACGAACTGATATTTCATTCTGTGATAAGCGAATGGGAGGTTTTTATTGGTTATGGAGAACGTACACTGGGAGACATCAATGCCCTCCCATCCTGCACAGGCGATGCCGTATCTGCAGGGGAGGCATTCATGTCCGCCATTGTACACTGGGAGATATCAATGCCCTCCTATCCTGCACAGGCGATGCCGTATCTGCAGGGGAGGCATTCATGTCCGCCATTGCATTTACATACAGTCCAGTTAGAAGTTGTTTAACCCTTTCATTGCACGATTCCTAACGATACCAAATTTTCCTTTCGGACGATTTGGAACGACGGAACAACGAATAAGAGCGAATTACAACGTCAATTTTCAACGTATCCTTTTGTACACAGGGAGACATCAATGCCCTCACATCCTGCACAGGCGATGCCGTATCTGCAGAGGAGGGATTCATGTCCGCCATTGTACATGAGGTTATTTTTTTTTGCCATATATAACCACTGACGACTTCACGAAATAATAAGGTGTATTAATTAAAGGGTCGTTCTATGTACACTGGGAGACATCAATGCCCTCCCATCCTGCACAGGCGAGGCCATATCTGCAGGGAAGGCATTCATGTCCGCCATTGTACATGAGGTTCTTTTTTTTTTTACCATATATAACCACTGACGACTTCACGAAATAATAAGGTGTATTAATTA